AGAGGGCGCAGAGGAGAGACAGGAAAGAGCAATGACTGAGTGAGAGAGAGAGAGAGAGACAGAGACGCAGAGGGAGAACAGAAAGAGTCAATGGCGAGTGACGGAGGAGAGAGACACAGGAGAACAAGAAAGAGTCAATGAACCTAGGGAGAGAGGAGAGAGACAAGAAAACACACTATGGGATAGTCAGAGAAGAGCCTTTGAGAGAGTAAGAAGAAGGTCCAAGCGGAAAACAGAAGGGCAAAAGCAGAAGACATGAGGTAGATGAGAGAGACAAAGGTGAAACCCACAGGGACCTAAGACAGAAGAGAGGGAGAGAGGAACAACAATCATAGGGACGAATAGGAACGTGAGGCCCAGAGAGATAACAGAGAGGCAGTGCCACAGAAGGAGACAGAGATAAATGCTGAGGGAGAGAGGAGAGGGAGACGCAGAAGAGACAAAGTACCAATGACTGAGGGAAGGGTGGCGGCAGAAACTTATATTGACAGACGTGGGGAACAAATACTGAGGCAATCACAGAGGAAGACGGAACAATCACAGAAGAGAGGACACACACACAGAGGGAAGATAGGAGAGATCAACGTGATCAGAGAGGCAAAAAGCAGAGGGAGAGACGGAGAGAGACAGAGGGTTGCTAGCTTGCCAAGAACTTTTGATATAGGAGAGAATCAGAAGAGCCAAGACGGTAACGGACAGACAGGGACAGAGAAGCCACAAAGAAGAGACAGCGGGACTAAGAGTGAGAGACAAAGACAAAAGAGCAGCACAGAGCGGAGGATTGTGAAGGATTTTGATATATGGATAATCAGAGAACCAAGAGAAGATACAGAGAAAGAGACAACACAGAGATTGAGCCAGAGGAGGACAGATTGCAGATTGTCAAGAAGTAATACAAAGAGTTAAAAGAGAGATACAAGACAAGACAGAGAGGAAACAGAGAAAGAGAGATCAAGAGTATTAAAACCAGGGGAGATAGATGGCACAAATTTAATATAGTAATGAACCACTGAACTACGTAGCTGATTAGAACTAATTTTTTATTTCACTGCCTCTATTACTATATTCATTTATATGAAACTTAATGACAATACAATGTGCGGACGGGGGTATCGATCACGCGAAGGACGAATCAAACATAACAGAGAAGGCAATGACAGAGGACGAGGGAAGAGACCATAAGGGACAGAGACAAAACAAGGAAAGAAGAAGTTCAATAAAGTATCGAACTCTTCTGAAGCGTATTTTACCCGCTACTACTAATTGTTTAATCACTCTCTTGTAGATGAGGTTGTTCCGTCTTAATGCCAATGCGTGTGTGTGGTGTTGGCAGGTGGGCGATCGACTCACAAAGCATGATCAAAGACAGTGGGAAGAGAGAGAGATGCTAGAGAAGCAATAGGAACGAAGGTTGACAAATAAGAGAGAGAGAAGAGACAGACAGCAGACAGACATCAGACAGTCATCAAAGACAGAGGGAAAACAGAGAGGGACAGAGGACAAGGCAGAGGAAAGAACGACAAAGGAGAGACAGAGATAAGAAAGGAGACAGTGTTCATTAAAGTATTGAACTCTTCTGAACTATTTTACCTATTACTACTAATTGGTTTATGCACTCTTTTTGGATGTAGTACGCTTAACGCAATGCGCTGTGCGTGTGTTGTTTGCCAGTGGGCTCGAGACACGCAGGCAATTAATGACAGAGGAGAGCAGCTAGAGAACCCACAAGTCTCGAAGAGTTGGGCAAATATATATTATCAACAGAGGGATAGACATTGAGGACAGAGACAAGACTGAGAAAGAGACACAAAGGCAGAGACCAGAGGAAGGACAGACAGAAAGGCACAGAGAAGAGACAGAAAACGGTTCAATAGAGATTGAACTGTTAACCTGCTTACACATCATTGTTTATAGCACTCCCTATAATGTGGGGTGTCCGCAGATCCTTAATTCCAATGCGCTGTGCGTGCGTGTTGTGCAGGGTGGCATTTGAGCACACGCAGGGCGAATTAATACCAGAGGGCGAGACAGCTAGAGAACGCACGTTGGAAAGGTTTGGGAAATATATAATATATAAATATATATATATATATATAATATATTTTGCCCAAATATATTTATAATATATATGTTTATAATTTATATATATCAAGACAGAGCGAGAGCATAGAGAGAAGACAAAAGACTGAGGAAAGAACACAAAGGCAAGAGACAGAGAAGGACAGACAGAAAGGCCAGAGGAAAAAACAGCACCAGTGTTCATAGAGTATTGAACTGTTTATACTGCTACTACCTATTGTTTATAGCACCCTTTAGATTTTGTGGTGTCCAGCAGAGCTGTTAATTCCAAGTGCGCCGTGTTGCGTGGCGTGTTTGTGGAGGGTGGCATATCGACCACGTCAGGGCGACGGCCGGCGCGGTAACGGGCGTGCGACCATCGTGAAGGCGCACCGGCGCCGGGCCGTGGCCGAGGAGCCCCGGCGCCCGCGGCGCGCGACGACGACACTTCCTACATGCCGGACAGCGACTTCGGCGTGAGCGGCCCCGCCCCCGCGCCGCGCGCGCGTCCGCCACGCCAGGTGAGCACCCGCACCAGCGCACAGCACACGCGCCAAGCGCAGGGAGCACACAGCAGTCACATCTCTCCACGTGGCGAGGCCACACCACGGCACGAGCACAGAGCACACACACACGACGCCACACAGGTGAGGCAACGCACCAGCACACGGGCACACATCACACACGCCTAAGCGCAAACGAGCATCACGCCGCACGCACAGGACACGCCAAGCGCAACGCAGTTGAACACGAAGCAAAGCACACTGGCCACAGCCCATCGCCAGGGTGAGCACACAGGCACACACGCAGGCGAGCACACGGTAGAGCACACAGGCACAGCACACACCCTTAAAGCGCAGCGAGCACGCAGCACACACGCCGCGCCCGCCTCGCACGGTCAGGTGGAGCACACCGCACCACGCTGCACGCACCCGCGCCAAGCGCAGGGAGCACCAGGCACATCACGCCAAGCGAGGGAACACGAAGCACAAGCACACTTGGCACACACCCACGCAGGGAGCACACAGGACACCACGCAGGCGAGCAACACGGTTTCGAGCACACGGTACGCGCACAACAGGCGCACAGCACCACACCCTGCACGCAGTAGTCAGCAGCACACAGCACGCGCGCCCGCCGCGTCGCCACGAGAGGAGCAAACAGCACCACACGCCAAGCGCCGGAGCAGCGGCAGCACAGCACACTGGACACGCGCGCCGCACCGAGCCGCTCGCCACCAGGTGGAGTCACACCGCACCAGCAGTACACGCCACCAGGGAGCACCACACACGAGCAAAGAACGCACAGGCACACGATCACATCGCCATGCGCAGGCGAGCACACGGCGCAAGCCCACTGGATACAGCGCTGCGCGCGCCATCGCCACGACCAGGTAAGCACACGGCATGAGCACAACAGACACAGACACACTCGAGCAAAAGCAAGCACCTCGGCACGCTGCGCAATTTGAGCACCACGGACAAACGGCACACTCCGGCCGAGGCACATCGCCACCAACAAGCGCTACGCACGAGCCAGATGACACGACGGCAGCAAGCACACAGGCACACACGCCAAGGCAGGTGAGCACGCAGCACAGGCCACAGCCAGCGACACCCTTGCGAAGCACATAGCATACGCACATAGCCATGCAAGCGCCAAGTGAGCACATATTACAAGCAACAGCAGCGGCACACTCAGCAAAAAGCAACACGAACGCGCAAGTGAGCACAACCGGCCATCAGCACAGTCCGGCGAAGCACATCAGACACTCACACACACACACACACACACACACACCACACCAAGCGCCGCGCAACGCGCCAGTGAGAACACGGCACAAGCACACAGACACACACGCCAGCGTCAAGGCGTGCAAACGGCACAATGCCACAGCGCAGCGGCACACTCCGGCCGAAGCAATAGCAACGAGCAACAAAGCGCAGGTGAGCACATAGTACAAGCATACATCCACGGCCACTCCGCCGAAGCACATAACTGCGTAAGCACACACGGCACGGCGTAGGTGGAACACGCTGCCCAAGAACTAGCCATTCTCACATAGCACAGAACAAGGAACACTCTGGCAAAAGAACAGGACACACTAAGGCGACAAAAGCTCCCAGCAAGCTACGCCAGACGGCCGTGGATCACATTGGGCCGCAAGCATTCAGCAGCGAAACTCAATCCTTGCACTAGAAACTTATGACCTAGCAAACTCACCTAGAAAATGTACCACTCGACAAAAAGCACACAGGCAACACCCGTCGAAGCACACAGCAAACACCCGGACAAAACACCAATACACATGATTCAATTCAGAACTCAGATGGCAGATGGACTTCTTACAAACCCGCAGCAACCGTTAACATCCTTGGCCTGTAAGCATGCGATGTGGTGGGTGTAGAGAGAGAGAGACAGAGAGAGAAAAGAGAGAGCAGAGAGAAAGACAGAGAGAAAGAGAGAGACAGAGGAGAGACACAGAGAGAAAAGAGAGAGATAAAGAACGAGAGAGAGAAAGAGAGGGTAAGAATGAGAAGAGAAACGAGAGAGAGAGTAATCCATTCTAGCCGCACGTGCGTATTTCTGCCTGCCCAGGGCGCTGGCGAGGCCCACACCGGGCACTTGAGGCGCCTCCAGGGGCAAGTCGATCAATACAACGCCACTTCCACCGCACTCCACCCCCGCGCCCCCACCTTCGATCCCGCCCTCGCGCGGGGGCCACATCGGTGTAACCCTCATCCCCGTCGCTGAGGACAGCCAGTGAACGCACACAGCGCAGCAACGACAGGTTCAGGTCATCGCCCTCTCTCCAGAGGGCCGCAACATTGGATTAAAAAAAAAGACCCGCTGTTGCTCCTTGCGGACTGAAACGGTCGATGTTTGCGAACAATATACTCACTCGCTCCTCCATTATTTTCCCCAATAATCCCGTCCACCCTATGATCTGTTCTCTCAACGACCCGTTTCCCAAAAGACACGTTTGTGCAGCGATCCGTTCCCCCACCGACCCGTTCCCCACCGACCCGTTCCTCACCGACCCGTTCC